GGTTGCATGTAAATTTGGTTAATTGTGGTATTAACTGGTCTTTCTTATAGGCTTATGTACTTCAGGGCAGATCTTGAAATGTTCTTCTTGACACTGAGTGCACGCCTGTCCTTGTCAGTTTATTATTCCACACATAGTAGACTGTCTGCTCGTCTCATTCAAAATGGCCCACTCCAGCCCATTTAGGCTCACCAGTGCTTGGGATATCCATTTTTATGCAGTCCACTCCATTTTTGACCAATTCATTTTCCTTAATTCATACTTGTACATTCCCTGTCTTGATTACTAGAGCACTAGAGTAATTGAGTAGTATGGAGAATGAGAGGAGTCTACATTCATGGGCTATTATCCTGTGCAGGATTGCTCATGATTTTAGATATTGTACACCAACATGAAGAAATTTACTACTGCATTTATGCATTAAGAGGCAGGCAAAAGAATACCTTTTTGTCGGGATAAGATGTTGATATGTTCACAACTACATTTTAGTTTATAAAGAAGATGATCTGGTGAGTTGTTTATGCATGTTGAAGCAGAAGTCGGTTTTTGAAGTGCCATTAAAAATCACAACTCTAACCACAACTTTTTAAAAAGTGCTATTTCTGGTGATTTAGTCTCTAGATACTGCATAAAATGTTCTTCTGTAGGCTCGGCATTTGCACTTCCTTGAAAATAACCCCGGTTTTATGAAGCCAGGTACCATTGTGACAGTAAGTTAAAGTCAGCCTTACTTAGTCTGAATGATAGCGTTATTTGTTCTGTTACAATTGAGCATGATTTCTTGGTAAACAGAAAACTGAACCAAAAAATCCAAAGGTGCTTGAAGAAGGCATATATTTGGAAGAACTAGACAATCACAAGTGCCTCTCCATTATCCACATTCATTTTTATCAGTGGGAATTCTGTATGTCTTCCTTACTATCTGCTGTTCCCTAAAGCCTACTGTATTTATTGTCTGACCTCTAGGGAAAGTTCTATGGTCATTGAACAAGTGAAAACTCGTCTGGTTGGAGTTAAGTCTTTCATAATAACAGACAACTGGAATTAACTATGATAATAGGGAAACCTTTTGTAAGTTGCCGAGGCTTCCTCCTAGATGGGGCTGTTTTTCGTCTATCTTGAGCAGTCATCTCTGAGCATGAGAATATGCATTTCTGGACATTGGTGAGGCGTGCCATGAAAGTCTCACTCTGTATAGTTAAATGTGGGATAGTATGAAAATCTCAAAAAATTATTGGTGTCACTATTACATGACAATTTTCTTAGCAAAACCTGCAGTTACTCAGCACTGATTGTTGGCTTTCTTTTCAGAGATTTCATAAGCAAGATTTTATATACCCAAAAGACTTATGGGCATATAAACAATGCCAGAAATGGGTGAGATGTAACGCCTGAACTTGGTCAGGCTCGTTCACTAAGCGATTGTTCTGTGCTTTGGTCTTGGAACACATTCAGTTCAAAATTGTTTTCTAAACAATTACTTAATGTCTGGTGTGGATTTATTGGTTGTTTTTTACAAATAGTTAGGATTGCAAATATAATACTCAATACTGCCAGAAGTTTTTTTTATAAAAATTGGAATATTTGTTTATATAGATCCTTCTGTACATGAATGTAAGTTTAACCATTTTAATTACCCCAGGAAAGAACAGAAAGGAAATGAACTCTTTTGAGCATCTGCTGCATGTGTTTTGGTTCACATGTTGAGGGGCTTCAAAAGGTTCATGAGAAAATTGAATGGAAAGATAATGGCATTTTACTTGAACTTTTTGAAGCCCCCTTGTGTAGTGAGTGAGATTGGTAACACTATCTGCATGTTGCAGTTTAGACAGCTGCGATTTAGATAGGCTTTGACATACCCAGAGTCATATAATATTAGCCAAAGCATTAGAGCTTGTGTGTCCACCTTCAGAATTCATGCTGTATGTATGGCATTCTGCCAAGAAAGACCGTAAAGGGAAGCCCTGATGCAGGGAGCAACAGACTATATGCTCAAAGATGGCAGGACTCATGCCTGTTTCGCTTTCCACTTAGTTGACACATGGTAGAAACTTCTAAGTGGTTTAATGATGAGGAACGCACCTCTGAATTGACTCATTATCATACTTGAAAATTAGGA